GAGATGATGTATGGTGGGGATGGCAGCTCAGTGCCCCTATGGTCATTATTTTTTTGCCACACACATTAAATAGGACAATACTCTGAGCATGCGCAGTGTAGTTTTTACCAGGAGGTGCATGATCGGGTTTTGTCCCACATGGCTCTAAACAGCTCAATAGGCACACACTGTAGACTTTAATTAGAAGAACACAGACTAAAACAGCAATGTACAGACAAATCAGATGATTAAACATGCTCCTCTGTTTTCATAACTGTCAAAGCATAAGACTGAAGTTCCCACTGTGGGTCAAAATAATGCGCTGTGAAACTACGGGGCGGCCGAGGACAAAAAATGCACATGCGTTAAACGCGTTAAAATAATTAGTGGCGTTAATTAGTTTTTCGACAGCCCTATTTATTATATAACTAGAATACGTATATATTAATGTGTTTCTCACTTGAATATACTGCTTGGGAGTGTGACTATAATAACACATCCTTCTTCAGTAGTTGATTATATATATTTTTAATAATGTGAAGCTGAGAAGTAGCCTAATTGGTAACTGATGTTGTCAGATCAAAACAGAGGAGTAAAATCTGTAGAGTAAAGTTGCGTTAAATGATAATATTCCAGGACGATTACTTCAGTAAATGCGACACTGATCCCTCAAAAGTCTCGAAAGAAAGACCAGCGCCGACCTCAGACCCCATCCAAAAAAAAATCTTTAACGTTTAGAGCTACAGAAAGATGAGTTTTTTGTAAAACCTCCAGATGTTGCACTTTTCACCAGCACTTTGAAGAGATGTATGGCATGTAGGTGCATTTAAAGTAAACAGTTACTTCAAAGTGAAATCTGATTTGCATTCAACTTCTCTTTATGAATGTGTCCCCTTAAACTGCTTATAAATAGTTTGTGGCCTCTCCTAGACGAACAATGAGCTAAACCGGAAAATGAGAAGCAAAAGCTATTTGTGATTGTAATCACAACAAACAGTAAAGTAGAAGAGAGTAAAAACAACTCTCAGTAGCTGGCATCAGAGCCTGTGGTTTGTAGTGCGGTGGGAGTGTAACTGTACATTTGACTCTTCGCTGTGACAGCAGATCAATGCAGCCTGGAGCACAGATAGACATTAATTGATTGTCGCCAATAAAACTCCAATTAAACAAAGGAACAGGCCTGGGAGAGAGCTGTGAGACAAGCAGCTCTCATTTTCTCATCAGTCCTCAGGGGGGAAGGATGGGAGGCAGGAGAGGGAGAGGATGTTGCCTGGGGGAGCCGATGAGCTCCTTTTGCTCTGAATACTCTCGCCATCAAGGAATTGTAGAAGTTGTGGATAAAGGTGAGAGAGCGTGCTGCTGACTGAGAATCAGATACCCGATAGACAGCGAGAGTGTGAAAGAAAGGGAGAGCAGGGGTGCTGCCATTGATCCAAAGCGTCCCTTAATGATGAAAAAGAGATCTTAATTGTGGCGGCATGTCATATATCAGGTTTCAGCAGTCAATTCTAGAGCTCGTCTGACCTTCTCTTATTTAATAAGTTAGTGCCCTTCACGGCACAGTCTTTCACTTCCTCTTTATAAACCCTTCTCTATCTGCCAGTATGTGCGTCTTCTTGTTCTGTCACTCGGTCTGAGCCACACTCATAACTGAACAATCTCTACATTTCATTCCTGCATGTACTTCCAGGTATGTGATAAGCCTCCCACCTAAGCAGCAACTAAAGATGCTTTTTTTACTCATATGCTCCTCCAAATGAAGTTAAAGATGATTAATGTGCGCCATTCCTAGAAAATGTACAAGATCTTCCTACTCTCCCTTCTCCTCATCTCACTTCTCCGCTAATAACATTTTCTTCACTATCTCCCGAACTCTGTAATCTGATTGTTCTTTCTATGATTGTGCTGTTATTGAGTTGCCTGTTTCATACATATGTATAAGTCCACCACAATACTTATATCATCTTCTGCTACAGTCCGCCCCCCAGCATCCGAGCCAACAGGAATCTCAGACATAAATGGAGGAAACACTAATGTGGTGTTGACACATGTAGAGCTTCACTATCTGGGGACATTGCAGGTTGGGAGCCCAAAATAACCACAAGCGGAAACAAAAAGTTTCACCCAAATCAAGTTTTCTCTAAACCTTTACAACTTTACTACTTTTAATGTATTTCTATTGTGCTTATTGAGTTCAAAGTTACACCATCCTGATATGGTTTTTCATTTATAAAAGGAGGTATTTCAGCAAGACTCAGCGCTGTTGCTTTGTGTTTAATGTGATAATAGAGAAATATGTGGTGTTGTGCAGCTTCTTTAGGGAGCAAAACCTTTATCTCATCATGTTCAGATTGAGATTATATGCAAGTGCCATAGCTCGAGGGAATGTAATCCAGTCAGTCCATACTGAAATATATCTCCAGATATTGAGTTGTCATGAAAATTGGTTCAAACATTCATAGAGCCCACTTTTGTAGTTATGAGTGAAATCTCTCAATTATTGGATTTATTGCAGTACAATATTGTACATTTAAGTGGATCATTTTGGAGTTGAATACATTTGTAATCCCTTTTAAGTAGAGCCATTATAAACTTTGGTTCGTGAAAAAGATCCTTGCAATATATTATCCTATTGAACATCATCATGTTAACCTTGTCTTTTTTGTTGCTGATTGTATCATTCACTCAAAACACCACTTTACCTGCACTTTAATACAGCTCACAGACGACCTACAGAGGATTATTTAGTTTATCCCAGCTTAATTTCTAAATGTACTCACCTGCAAGAGCGAGTGACCCATGTTCAAAGGCTTAAACCATGAGCTGCTGTACTATAGTCAAAGCCAAAGTAAATCCTTAAACAATGATTGCATTAAAATAACATTAGCAGAGTGTCAAACATGACCAATTCCTGATTATGAACCTCTAGATTAACAATTAGACAAAGACAATTGCTCTAAAAGTCCCTTTTCACTCATCGTAGCCTAACAGAATAGTGGAAGCGTGAAGATGTATTTCTCAAACCGTCAATCTCTCGCTGGTTGTGGCAGCCTGATGTGACCTTATAGCAAACATCCGCTGTTTTGAAAAAAGTCTATAGTTTATGGATTTCACGTCAAGAGAAAATATCTGATATTTCTTCTAACAAATCCTCACCCTTTAAATAGATTTACTGTCCAGCACACAAAATATTTCATATTTATGCTAATAGGAAGTCCATCCATTCATTGGTTTCTGTTGGCATTTTATTACTTTCACGCAACAGAAGAAGAAGCCCTCTCTCCATACACATCTTTTCCCACTCGATCGATGTTTGTTAAAGTTGCTGACTGTGTATGGATGCTTTTCCCCACTCACAAATACCCGCTCCAACCTCAGCCCCCTTCATACGGCTGACCCTGAAGGTTAGGTTGAGGTTCCTGGCGGGATGTAGCCGCTGAAGATGGTTAAGGATTATGATGATGGTGCTAGTTCGGGCTCTATTCGCCATCAGCATGAGAAATTATGATAACTGCACCAGCAGAGTGTTAGCCTGACAGATGGCAACACATGGAGCTTGCTGACAGCACTGCTGACAGCGTACGTTATCTTGTGTTTTTCTGCCATCAACAGTTGTTTATCCCTGCCTGTCAACACCAAAGTCGGCTCTCATCCCAAATTCACCGGTTTAAAATCGTGAGACCACTGCAAAGGCATCCTAGCATGGCACCAAAGGGAAGTGAGGTCTGTTAAATACCTCTGCCTCTTAGTCACTGGTCATTTATCAACACCTGTTCTATTTTGGTAATTAATTCCTCCAGTGGTCAATAATCTTTCAGTTATTTCCCCCTCAATCAATCTACTTAGAAATCAGATCTGCGGGCATGTTAATGAATGGCCAAAAGATGTAGATACATTAATTGAATGACTGAATACATTAGGAACCGTATTGAGCGTTGCACTTTGCCTCCGCGGATAGCAATATAGAGTTATTATTAGGTTCAGTGATTGATGAAGGATGAGCAACGATTTGGCACCACCCTGTCGGTTCCACTGCCCTGGATAGAAATGAAGGGAGACGGAAACTGTCCTTGCATGAGTAGACACAAAGATCTCATCCTGTACTTCTTTTGAAATGCTGTTTTCATTTATTTCTTTGTTTTTTTTATCCACCAGAACAGTTTTAAAAACTCTATCCAAATGCGTCCTCAGGGGAAGTACATGTAACCTCCGAATAGCTGTAATTCTTCTCGCTGTCACTTCATGACAGCTTCCAGCTTGAAGTTTGCATGTGTGCAAATGTGTTTGTGTGCTGAGTTGTGTGTGTTTTAGACTGTGTACATACATGCATATGGATGTGAACATGGCAGTGATGTGATTGATGAGAAATGAAAGAGAGCAACATTTCCAGTCAATCAGCGCAGTGAATAACCACCTAGGCTGTGGATTAAAGGCAGAAAGATGTCTCAAATAACAAAGGCTCACATCCATTACCTTACATGCAGAGTTGTTTTTCTCTCCGGAGCAACACTGACAACAAAATTAAAGTGTGTTAACAAAAATAGATGGTTTTGTTTTCTTGAATTCGAGAGATGAAACACAGCCACATCCAACAACTTGGGTGCTTGTGGAAATAAAATTCATGTGAGGTAAAACATATCTCTCTGATAGTGACCTAAACAACACTTAGGATTATGATAATGTGTGTAAAATGAAATTGGACATAACAGATTTTTTTATGTTCAATAGATTTTGTCCAGACGGTTTCAAGATTGAATTTAAATAATTCTGCCTCTTCATCTCTTAATCAATCCCAGTACTAACGTAAGTCTTTTAAGGCTACTGTATAGTCAGCAACATTGCTATCAGTTTTGAAATTTGCAAAATATCCATTTCAAACTATAACCAGTAACACGTTTTATCCTTGCACAACTTCTGCTTTCTGTCCCGGAGAATATGTGAAAGTGAAAATATAACAGCCTTTAACCCACTGTAACTAAAGTTACATTTTTCTTCTCTTTTCCGTGTCTTTTTTTCTTCAGGTCCAAGGGTTGGAGAAGCAGGTGGAATTCTCAGACCTGCGCCCAGTGGGGTCTGTGATGAAGTCTCTTCCCTATGGCATAGGAGGAGGTGTACCGTCAGCAGGAGTGGTGAAGCCTCCATACCAAACACGTATCTTCTCCACCTCCATCGACCAGACACCTATGAAAACCAAGCCGCCCACCTACAGTTTCTATAACCCTTACGACCCGGCCCGGAATCAGTCCCTGCTGCTGGACCAGACAGGATACCGCTCTAAGCGCAAGCCCTCGCTAAAAACAAACATGAAGACCAAGAAGATCTTCGGCTGGGGAGACTTCTACTTCAACGTCAAGACCATGAAGTTCAGCTTGTTGGTGACAGGGAAGATCGTGGACCACATCAACGGCACGTTCACCGTTTACTTCCGCCACAACTCGTCCAGCCTTGGGAACGTGTCGGTCAGCATTGTGCCGCCCACCAAAGTTGTGGAGTTTGAGGTCCTCCACCACCAGCAACAGCACCATCAGCTACACCCTCACACTCAGCAGGAGATCCAGATCCAGGAGACCCAGCAGTCCACCGTCAACCACAAAGAGATAAAGACCTTTAACTGTCGGGTGGAGTACGAGAAGACCAACAGATCCAAGAAGCCGAAACCCTGCCTGTATGACCCCTCTCAGACCTGCTTCACGGAGCACACCCAGTCCCACGCCGCCTGGCTCTGTGCCAAACCCTTCAAGGTCATCTGCATCTTCATCTCTTTCCTCAGCATCGACTACAAGCTGGTGCAAAAAGTGTGTCCGGACTACAACTTCCAAAGTGAGCACCCTTACCTTGGATAAGAAAGGGAGCTTGAAATGCAAAGATAAAAAGATAGAGACAATGTTAACGACAACGATGATGCTTATGATGATAATGATGGATATCATAGTCATATTGATTACGATGAAGAAGCAGGGGACAGTTTTTTGCCTCTAAACTGCTGTGAATTGTGGATTTAAATCAAGTGTAATCAGAGTATTGAATGGTTAGGATATGGCTGATTTCTCTGACTTATTTTCCAACTTTATATTTGTTAACCTCTGTTTTATTTGCTTTTTTTCTGTAAATAATGTATTTAACCTCAGCACACTTATTGTTTTTAGATATTTGTTTCTCAGTGTTATTACTTTTTGCAGTTGGAAAATTCGGTTGAAGACAGCTGGAACAGTATTATGCCCTCCGAGTACAAGGGGAGCCTCTGAGGCGGCTGAGCTGTGCCACCACTGTACGGCAGAAGTAATGTTATGGTAGACTGACTGTTAATCATCCTCTCAGCTCTACTTTCCCTGGATATAAGAGAGTTATATGTATGAGAAATGCTATGGTGGATATGCATACAATATACTGTATGAAAAAGCACATTAAAATCTCTTAAACTGTCTGTGTTTTACTGGGTGAATATTTTCGTTCGGAGCTTCAAGCTAAATTGCTGCACAGAAGCTGTTAACTCAGAAAGCACACTATTATGAATTAAGTTACATTTCACTCTGATTGGGAATTCCTGCAGAAGCTTTCTGTGAAGATATGTCATTTTTAATTTCCGAGAACATAGGGAAGAATGTTCATTTTAACTTGAAAACCAACCGTGACACATTCTTAAGATGATGATAATGTTTGACTCCTTTCGAATGAGTTATTGAAACCGAGGAAGGTATCATTTTTAATTACATAATAGTAATAATAATAATAGATTTATTTTGTTAGCGCTTGTACAGGTGCTCAAAGTCGGTTTACAGAGATAGTGAAAAGAAAAGAACAACAAATATATATAGTTAAAGTCAAATTAAAATCAAGCAATACAAAAACAATCACACATTAAAAGCCAGATTGAAGAGGTAAGTTTTTTGAAGGTGGTGAGGTCAGTGCAGTCTCTGATGGGTTGTGGGAGTGAGTTTCAGATGTACCCTAAAACTGCAAAGGGAAATATGTATTTTACTGAGGGCAAAATTACTGACAGATTAATGTTGTTTGATCGTGCAAGCAACTTTTGCACATTTTAATTTCAGTTTCACATACACACACACACACACACACACACACACACACACATACTGCTCTGTTACTCAGGCCACTGTTATTATCTCAGCTACCTAATTTTGTTTACTTTATTGCTTTCTTTATGCAAAAGCAAACTTATCGAAAGAATAGGCAGGATGGCGTCACTATTGATAAGAATATATTTATATTCTTGCATCAAGATTAGAGGTTAAAAAGAAAACCATAAATCAACTGTGCCACCTCTTCCTTGATTTAATTAAACAAACACACTCTGCCTTACGACTATCTCAGATGGTTTCTCTTCTTTGTTCACAAACGTTCTCTCTCTCAGCACAGTCGTTGGCTCTCCACACATTTGATCAGACGATAATGGTGCTCAGAAATTCATTAGAAAACACACAGTCGATGCTAATTTAATCTTCACTTCAGACTTTCTCAATACCCTATTATGCTTTTGATCAATGACTGAGTTCCAGGGAGGTGTTACACAAGTTGCTTTTGATGGTCTGGACTTGAAGATTGATGGATACCCTGGAGTTCACCTCTTTGTAACATAGATTCTCAACAGTGGGTTGGTAAACAATCACTGGACAAGTTGTTTTGGACAGATCGGTAGGTCTACTTTTTGGCCCAAAAAACAGATTTCACATACTTTGGAAGAAAATGATATAAAAACGTGCTGATAACGCCCACCGACATCTACTGTAACTTTACTTAGATTATTGAGGGCGCACAATAACTGACTTATTAACAGTGCTGGAAGAAGAATATGTTTTATTTGAGTGAAAAGTAGCAATACTAAAGTTTAAAAGTAGTTTTTACTTAAAAGTCCTCTATTCAAAATCTTAATTGAGTACAAGTGCAAAAGGATTGCTGTCAAAATATATGTAAAGAAAAAAGTACTCCTCATGCGTAATGGCACATTTCAGAGTCGTATAATCTATTGAGTTACTGGGTTACTATGATTAAATTGAGTTAAATGTAATTCCGGTATCCGCCATTTTACGCGAGGTGCGAGCAGGCCGAGGGTTTAGCCGTACACCGTCTAGGTGTTGCTAAGCTTCCTGTACTGAATATCATAGTCTATTGCCTTAATCAATATCTAGTCAACTCTAAAATACCACATATATGCAATGGCATGATAACCAGTACCTTTCCGTGGTAGAGAGGTTTGTGTGCCCTGATGAACCTGGGGGCTGTGTTGTCTGGAACCTTGTGTTCCTGGTAGGGTCTCCCATGGCAAATTGGTCTCAGGCAAGGGGCCAGACTAAGATTGGTTCAAAAGACCTCATGAAAGACGATACAAGAAGTGAGGATACCCGGTCCGGAGGAAGCCCGGGGTCCCCTTCTGGAGCCAGGCCCAGAAGGAGGACTCGTCGGCGAGCGTCTGGTGGCCGGGCTTGCCACAGAGCCCGGCCGGGCCCAGCCCGAAAAGGCAACGTGGGCAACACCTCCGCTTCTCCGTCCCGCGGGCCCACCACCTACGGGAAACAGCGATGGGGTCGGGTGCGCTGCCAGAAGGGTGGCAGTGAAAGCGGAGGGTCTCGACGGACCAGACCCGGGCGACAGAAGCTGGCTTTGGGGACGTGGAACGTCACCTCTCTGGGGGGGAAGGAGCCGGAGCTTGTGCGGGAGGTGGAGCGTTACCAGTTAGATCTGGTTGGGCTCACCTCTACGCACAGCGTCGGCTCTGGAACCTTACTTCTGGATAGGGGTTGGACTCTATTCTTCTCCGGAGTTGCTCAAGGTGTGAGGCGCCGGGCGGGTGTGGGGATACTCACAAGTCCCCGGTTAGGTGCTTCGTTGTTGGAGTTTACCCCAGTGGACGAGAGGGTCGCCTCCCTACGCCTGCGGGTTATGGGGGGGAAAACTCTGACTGTTGTGTGTGCTTATGCACCCAACAGCAGTTCAGAGTATACGGCCTTCTTGGAGACCCTGGAAAGAGTCCTGTATGGGGCTCCTGAAGGGGACTCTTTAATCTTGCTGGGAGACTTCAACGCACATGTGGGCAATGATGGAGACACTTGGAGGGGCGTGATTGGGAGGAACGGCCCCCCTGATCTGAACCGGAGTGGTGGTTTGTTACTGGACTTCTGTGCTAGTCATGGATTGGCCATAACAAACACCATGTTCGAACATAAGGATGCTCATAAGTGTACGTGGTACCAGAGCACCCTAGGCAGAAGGTCCATGATCGATTTCGTTATCGTATTATCGGACCTGAAGCCGTATGTTTTGGACACTCGGGTAAAGAGAGGGGCGGAGATGTCAACTGATCACCATCTGGTGGTGAGTTGGGTCGAGTGGCGGGGGAAGCCTCTGGATAGACCTGGTAAGCCCAAAGGTGTAGTTCGGGTGAACTGGGAATGTCTGGAGGAGGTCGGTGTTCAAAGCCTCTATTGCCGAAGCCGCGGCGGGGAGCTGTGGTCTCAAGGTCCTAGGTGCCTCAAGGGGCGGTAACCCTCGAACCTCCTGGTGGACACCGGTGGTCAGGGAAGCCGTCCGACTGAAGAAGGAGGCCTTCAGGGATTTGTTATCCCGGGGGACTCCCGAGGCAGTTGCAAGGTACCGACAGGCCCGAAGGGCAGCAGCCTCATCCGTGGCCGAGGCAAAGCAGCGGGTGTGGGAGAAGTTCGGAGAAGACATGGAGAAGGACTTTCGGGCGGGCACCAAAGTTGTTCTGGAAAACTGTCCGACACCTCAGGAGGGGGAAGCAGGGAACCATCCAAGCTGTGTACAGTAAGGATGGGACGTTGTTGACCTCAACTGATGGAGTGTTAGGGCGTTGGAAGGAACACTTTGAGGAACTCCTGAACCCGACAACTCCGCCCTCTATTTTAGAGGCAGATCTGGAGTATGACGGGGGATCAACACCAATCTCCCGGGGGGAGGTCAGTGAGGTCGTCAAACAACTCCACAGTGGCAAAGCCCCGGGGGTGGATGAGATCCGCCCGGAAATGCTGAAGGCTCTGGGTGTTGAGGGACTGTCATGGTTGACACGTCTCATCAACGTTGCGTGGAAGTCGGAAACAGTACCGAAGGAGTGGCAGACCGGGGTGGTGGTTCCCCTTTTTAAAAAGGGGGATCAGAGGGTGTGTGCCAATTACAGAGGCATCACACTACTCAGCCTCCCCGGGAAAGTTTACTCTAATGGCGCATTTCCACTGCAGCGGGGTAGCCCCGTTTAAGCGTCCCTATGCGTCCTCGCTCAGGCCTCGGGCTGCCTCGCTGGCCGTCCGAGGCCGTGGCACATTTCCATTACAGTTTAGGACCTGGGGTAGCAACGCAGTGTAGGCAGGGCGATTGGCTTTTTGGGCGAAGCGACGCTGGGTAAAACTGCAGTGGCGTCATCTTCAATGCGACACAACTCACAAATCTATCCCTTGCCAAGCTGGCTCTTAAAACCCTTCCCAGACACTGGACGGCTGACAGCAGAACATGTGGCATACAACAAGAAAATGTGCAGCGCACGGGTAGTGGTTGAAAACCCATTTGGTAGACTGAAGGGAAGGTGGCGTTGCCTCATGAAAAGAAATGACTGTGATGTGAAACTTGTGAAATCCATGGTGCTGACATGCTGTGCTCTGCATAACCTCTGCGAGAGTCATGGAGAGGACTATGATGATGGGTGGAATGCACCAGCAGCAGCAGAGCCTGGGGTAGCAGTGGCTCAAGGTGCAGAGGAGGAGGGCACTGACATCAGAGAGGGTTTGATGCGCTACCTGAATACCTAAATATGCATTATATTGTATTAATTGTATTGAACATAAATAAATCTTTTTTTTTTCATATACATGTGTTTGTCAAATGTTTTAAACAAATGTTGTTATCTGAATTGAATATTTAGTAAATATTTGAATTTCAAGCACCAGTAAGTACTGCCCCATAATAAGAACATTTGAGGAAATATCAGATCATGAAAAGAAAATCTTTTTAATAAATTAAGTGAATATCAAAGCTAACTATAAACATAAATACTAAAGTGTAAAACACAGCAAAACTATATTCATAAATGCAAGTGTAAAATAGTGTGGACAATTGTAAACATGGATGGAGGCTAAAGTATCCAAAACATAGAATAATATATTAAAATATAACCTCAATCTTTCTTCTAGACATGTTAAAAGCTTGCTTTAATGGGTTATAGGTTTCTTTTGTTCTCTCGTCTTTGAAATATATAAGGAATGTGTTGTTTGAGTCTAGTAGAACGAGGGTATTACAATTGAGCAATTTCTACATGTATTATGTATTTATCATGTATTCTTAATACTATTACAAATAAACATGTAATAATGTTTTAGAGGAGGACCTCAAGCTAGCAAACTCAATTTCTTGCTTTAAATCTCTTAAAACTAAGGGGCTTTTTCCTAAGTGATGGTGTTT